TAGTATAATATTCGAGGTTACTATTATTATTATTATTACTATTAAATAGTCACAAAACACGTGGACGAAAAACGAGTTTGGGATCGTTTTATAAATTCGTAACAATATTATAATATTATGTAAATACAACGATTGAAAACATTTCGGTCGCATCGGTCACGGCAAATATTTATCCATTGCAACAAAATAAATACACCTACTCGAGTGTTTTTATCTCTCTGAATAACTGCGTATCGGCTAGCTAGACTTTTTGAACTACGACTATAAAAAAAAAAAAAAAAACGATAATATATTGTGTGTGTACACTGTACACAAGTATACCAGCTCCGAACCGATAACCGGAACTCACGTGTCGGCCTTACTATACTAATATTGCAGTTGTGACTTTTGACTTATCAGTTACCACGGGGAAACCGTCGAGTATGTTCTATAAACTTCTCAACACGAACGGCTAACAGACAGAAGCGACGGCGAACAATAGGGGAAAAATCGGGAAACCGATCGTTGACCGATGACCGGACAGGTCACGAGGCCAAACCGATATAGTGTACTTGTGATCTTTGTCCAATTAAACAAACAAGGTGGTGTTCAGTCTACGAAAATAATTAATTATATATATCGTATTATGACTTTCATTGGCAAGGATATCATAACTACTATCGCTGCATCTTTGTCGGCGATTTTAAATATTTTCTTCATCTAAACATATGTTAAAACACCTGTTATGAAATCGAAAGATAACATTTTGAAAGAACAACATTTTGGAGACATATCCGATTTTGAAAATAACAACGAGATAAAAGTTATAGCTATTCTAAAAAACTGTGATATTATAATATACTAAGTTTCTCAAAAAAAAAAAAGGATATGACTCTAAAATCTTGTCATGTTTCGTTTCTGTTTTAGATTTTTATCAATACCTATTGGCGTTTTTTAACGTTGATTGCAGTATTAGTGCAATACTTAAACAAACGCGTTAGCCAATTCAAGTTATAATAAAAAGCACATAGTATTTTTTTGGATTTTCAACGTACCTAACGATATGGCATATATGCTGTATATAATATTATGACCGTGTGTCTGTGTTAACAGGTGGTCGTCGTCAATAACCGAGGCGGTGCACTGCAGACTGCAGTAGTCTGAGAATACAATTTAGGCTATTACAAAATATGTTAAAAAGTCAAAACTAAACCAACGCTTTCCAATGTCCGTGAAACAATATTGCCGTGTACAGGTTATTGCCGCTCGGTGTAGCCGATGTGTACCTATATAATACATGTGTACATGGTTTATAGCTGTCTATGTATACACTCTCTGCGGAAGCTTCAGATACCTAATCTAGACTGCCGGCGTCAGCGTTTCAGTCAAATGGAAAAAAATTAAATAAATTACTCACATCATATATGTTATTCTAATCATTATTTTTTTTACTGTAGGTAGGAAATTAGAAATCGATAACAATAGCTGTTGGCCGACAGCAATGTGTAAAAAATTGCTGTAAAAAAAAAAAATCACATAATATACCCTTATTGATTTGCCCTTGTTCAAACAGTTATACTAATTGATAAAATATAACAATTCTTCCAAAAATTGTTTGGTCGACGTTCAGCTGGCTACTATAATTGTTGGATAAACCGAAATGGAAAATAAACGAGCCTTTCACTATTTGTACAGGTCATACGCTTTAAAATTAAATAACAAAATATGAACAACAAACGCGTTAAAATTCAATTTTAATAAAAAAAATACAATGCCTTTTAAAATCAGGCAATTTACATTTTCATATTATGTAAACAATAAATACAAACATTTCAATAAATACTGCAAAGAGGTAGTTTTTTCATTTACATACAATGATGTAGAAACAAATACAAAACAATATAAATATTATAATTTAAGCGAGCACGTGTACTTTAAAATTTTATTTCTGTAATAATTATTGGCAGGAAATGCAAAAAATGTTTCTATTTATAACAGTAAATGTGGTCTCGGATATTTTTGTGGTTTTGGAACATTTTTGTTGTTAGAGAACTCAAGGTAAATTTGTTTACAAGTGTCCAACAATAATTTAATAGAACAATTTTACGACCTTCGTTTCATTGTGTTGTAGTAATTTGATTGCGCTTAATCGCCAATCAGTTTGAGCAGATAATATACATTTCAATGAATGATTAACCTTCGATATGATTCATTACGGTGCAACACAGTTTATCCGTTATTATACTTTTAATTACATTATGATGTTTTGATTTTGCTGAAGATAGCACTCGAGTATTAGGGAGAACAACTTTATTACGCGTTTCTTTCAAATTAAATACAATTAGGTATGAATAAGGCTATCGAAAAAATTGTTCAAAAACTTGTTCAAGTATTATATACACACATAACTTGTTCAATTCAACCCCCCCCCCCCGTTTACTCTGTTTTGATTAAAATGTTTTCCACATTTCAAATTAGTTGAATCATGTTCAATTACAATGTTTTTTTTTTTTAGCCGAAAATATATTATTATTATTCAACGTTGTTCGTGAACTTGTGGTTCGCCCTGTTGTCGGTTGAACTGTAATGCTGTTTACAAATCCAATTATTCGGAAACACAATATTTTCTCTTGTACTTACATACGCCACTGTTAATTGACTGTTTTACATAAATCAAAAAAGAAATTGACTACTAATCGGTAGATTTATTACCGAAAGCTGCAGCAGCTGGAAAGGCACGAATGTGTAGCTGAAAAATAATTTCTATAGTTCATTTAAAACGCATAATTAACTATTGATGGCGAAAATAATACCCTACTCAATAGAGAATAACATCTAATATAATAAGATATTAATAATATGTGCAATTATAACTGAATAATATTTCAGCTTTTTGAATCCTCTAATTAATCTAATTTTATCTTTTGGGACATACTTTTTATTGTGTAGTGAATGAATACAGAATAAATGTTATATTGTACAATTTTAAAATACTTCAACGATATAATCAGTAAAAATGAGAGTACTCAAAAATACATGTTCTATACTTGTGTAGATTAGGACGACGCTATATATGCTTCTAGCCATTTTTGCATTAACATATTAATGGAATAAAGGTAAATGAACTTCGAAATTTCAACGTTTAGTCAAGTGGACATAATTTAGAATTGATTTCTCTTGTTCGCCGAGTTAATAAATTGTACAACAATACTATTAAATAATAACATTAATGGGATTGCATGCGGTCTGTTTTTTTTGACGTTTTAGACCAAAAAGCCAGACAACATTTCGACAGAATTCAAACAGAAATTTATTAAAACCTCTTTTTTCTTAAATATTGCCTATACCAAACTCCTTAAAAACAGACCGCATGCAATCCCCTTAATTATAATAACTAGATAATTATAATATTATGTATTATATGATTATAATGAGATGATTATTTATAAAAATAATAAGCATTTTAGATTTTTACTCATTGGAATATTATTTAAACGTTGCATATTTATGATACATAAGTACTTTTTATTATATGTATATTTTTTTAGTCAAATATTTTGTTTTTTTAACATCCTATTGGTACCTGGAATAACTACTCTGGGAGTAAAACAAATGCAAACGCTAATATTATTGTCATTGCATTTAATATTGTATGTAAGTAATTATAAACAAATATATAATATTTGTTCATACATTCTAATATAAATGACAAATATTTTGTTTTTCAATTTCATAAAAACGAATAATTATATTGGTCGCCAATAATTTCGACATCATTATTGCTATTGTTTTATAAATATGACTATTTATGTTGATAGCTTATAAGCGCAATAGCTATTATTTTTTTATATTCCCTTCCATTACAAAAAAAGCACTCGTTCGTTGTTAGTCTTTTAAGTCCCGTTAAGCATGCTTAACGTCGTGCCACAAAGTAGTCTAGACTTTGATTAGTGCGCAATTGTTTTTTTTAATTAAAACTTTGTGTTTTAATTGAAACACAACGTTCTCTCTTTACAATGTCAGAAAATCATAAAAAGAATCATCGCAATACGTTGATTGATCGTTTGCTATTACCAAAGGCTTTGATGTCGATACGGTTGATTGCAATTATTGGCGTTTGGATAAATTGTGATGTAACGTTTGTTTGTAGATAGTGTGTATGTTCAAAACAAAAATACTATTAACACATTTCATGGAAGTCTAAACGAATTCAGAGTAAGGTGATTTTATGAACTAATGAATCATCGATGATTATTGCACTTTCAAAACGAATGCGGAAACAACTCATTCAAAATCAGTTAAACATTATCATATTATTATGACTAAGAACGAACGGCGTTAACCTTGTTCCTTTTCTTAATAATTTTTTTTATTTCCGACTGTTACAATTTGTTGTACGATATCAAAATATCGTATGTGTAAAACAACAGGGAAATTATTTTTTTCATTTGCCCGTTGGACAACCTATTTGGTTAGCTGACCAAGAAGCAAATACGAAGAATTACGGCTTCTGGTATATTGTAATAATATGCATGTAAAAACTATAATAGAGGTTACTTTGTTGTGTAAACAACCGTTCACGGTCACGGAGAAAATTAATCGCAAAACATTGTAAAAATGACTGATATACAAACATAGTAATAAATGTTATATAAAATATATTGAAGGATATTTTTTTTTTTGTAATTTATTTAACGTGTGTACTTTACTTTCAACGCGGAACCAAAAGATAATGGTATAATAACATTTTTTTTACAACAGGTACATTGGCTGTGATTAGGGTTAAAACATACATGTATGATTAGATTGGATGCATCGTGAAAAAACGGAGGTTAAGTTGAATTATAGTTGTAATTTGCTGTGTTGCCAAAAATCACTTGATATAATAACAAATTGAAAAAGGTGTAATCGATGGTTTTCAACAAATTTGCTCCATTTTGTGCACTCTTATATAATTACATAAATAAAGATAATTATATAAAAAAAAAAAATTATTTGAGGCTTGAATATGAATGTTTTAAAGTTGTGTAGTATACTTACTACAATTAGTTAGTTTTGTTGAAAAGTGTATTGAAACTCTAAAACTACTGTAGGTCTGGTAAGTGGACGTTCATGACTCATAACCATTTTGGGTAGTTGCAATTTCAGTAAAAATTATCAGATTATTTTTTTTCCAGAATCCAAAATTGTTCAAATCTCATCAAACCTCTATTCTGTACAGAAGTTGATGGCCGTGAGACGAGCAATTTTCAAAAATATAATTGGCATTGCCTGTAAAAAAAACTGATTATTTTATAAAACACATTTTGGTTAGAGCCAAATAAAAAAGGTAATAGGGACATTTTTCAGAAAAATAATCGACAATTTTGAGTTGTGGTGGAAAGATGTGGAAGTAAACAAACCGCAATAATTGTTGAAGACGGATGGGCAACCAATTGGTTTTTAATGAATGCCACATAGTTTTAAAACCAGTCAACGACCTAACCGGCTTTTTGGGATTGAATGTTATTCAATGTTTACATTCCGTGTTGTACCTGTTGAGAAATGACGTGTCGAGTAATTTATTTTGATGATGAATAGTTCATTTTCAGCATTAGTGTCTTGGGAATTTTTTTTCACAAAACAACATGTCTCCCATATAATATTTTAAATATTTTCTGCTGACGTCGTGGGTAGTGTTTTTGCGCAGCAACACAATTAAATTATCGTTAAGTTGCACGTTTAATGAATGACATTCTTGGTTTGAAAAAAAAATAAGAAAAAAGAAAAGTCAACACAAATTCCGCTCAATCGTCATCCGGAATGACAAACGACAATTTTCTATTTTCTACTGTCCTCCCATCTTCGGCCTTCCTGGCCCTTTCCCCCATTTTCCCTGGCTGTATTATACACAATCTGTTTACTTTAATCTTGTCGTGCACAACTGTTCGTAAGTCGAAAGACAAGTACCTGTATTTTTGCTACTCAACGCGAATATTTTTCAAAACTAAATTTAGAACAAAGACTGAGACACCGCACTGCTTCATACATTGAATTCGATTATCTTTTCTTGTTTCTTGACTTCACCGCAAGTGTCTTCACGCGACTAGATTATTTATTTATAGGTCGTGTCGTGACATTGGGTTTATTTTTACACACAAATTAGAATCCTCAACTCGATTGATGGCGATGAAGTGTAATCCGACCTGTAAACAGTTATGTAACGCACTTGTGATACAGCTAATCGCGCATACAACATGCGATATTTTATTAAATAGTGTATCACAATAAATAAATTAGGTATGTGCGACTTTTCTATAGGAAAGACTGTTGTAAATAAATCCTACACAGTTAAATGTCAACAGTCAGTTTAGTTGTCTTGCAAAGACACTAATAGAAAAAACACTATTTACCTATTTTATTTTAAGAATAAGTAAGTTAATGTTTCGAGTATAAATTTGTTTTTTAATATTATATAAAAGCTGAGTACTTTGAGAGGTGTAATTATGCGCAGATCTGAGGAGGAAAAGTGTCCCAAGAATGTATCTAAAAATGACAAGTGTGTCTGGTGAACCATACTTGATTTTCAGGCAATAATGATTGAACTTACTAAAGATGTTTAGGCCGATGTACTTCGATGGATCAATAATAATAATTATACAAGTCTTAGTATTATTATTTGCAGTAAACTGTACTGTACGTGTAAAATAATATCCCTACTATGAAATTTGAATACAAACATATTAAATATCAATAAGGATTTCTCTTTGCTGTTTTAATACAATGTGGCTACAAACGTTTTAGATTCACATCAAAGTATCGCATAACAAGCCTAATCTTTGCTACTTAAGCAATATACTCAAAAGCTCGATACTTTCGACGGTTCTACAGTTTTGGTCTTAATAACAAATATGTATTAATTACTTTGCGGATTACACGGGCATAAACGACGTAGAAACTTGCAAGGTATTAAATTAATAATGTCCGCACAATATATTGTGTACCTATCACTGAAACCGCTGGAGAGAATCGAAAGTGGAAATAGTCCACCGTTTGTAAAACTCTGAAACGCACAAAAACGTTAATGTATCATTAAATTTTGACAACTTTGTGAAAAAATAATAAAATTCAGTCAAATCATTTCTGTGAAAGTGATTAAAAATTGTATTGCTTTTGAAAGTAAACACAAGCCAAGTCTATCATGAAAATACCTTCTCAGCTATCGCGTGGAAGCTAAAATATCAACTGTACATATTATATTAATAATTTAAGTGCACATTTTGGGCACTAACGGTAAATCTGTAACTACACGAACATTAACACGTGAATACAAATTACACGTGTAATTGCGTGCACGCGAATTAGATACATTTTACTTTTACCCATTGTTCTGTTTTATTAGATTAAATATTTATTATTAATCATGTTGTTTGGACAAACTGCCACGAGAAGCCAGATATCTTAGTTTCACGGATGTTTCACCTACTCAACTTAAATTCATATTCAGAACACTACAAAATTACAACTCTGTAGTTATTGTTGTTCTGCGCGTAACAAAAATTAAAGCAGAGACAAAAAACTAGTCAGATCCAAATGTTTAGTATCAATATCATCGGCGTAGTGTAGTTTATGTAACGATAAGCAATTGGCTGATTTCACTGTTGAACTCAGAAGTTTATATCATCACGTTAGAAAGAAGAGTTTGATTGGTTTTCTAAAAATAAGCATGATCTAAATATTGTATAGACAATATCATTGTTTGAAACAATGATTTATCGGTTAGTTTTTCTACTTTACTTTACTTACGTTTTGTACAAAATATATTTGTATAATAATACCTCAAAGTATAATAATGAAATAATATACCTCAAACAGGAAATCAATTACAAAAAAAAAAAAAAATAATGAAAAAATAATTTTACTTGATTTTTTTTAATTTTTACCAATTACTGCTAATCTAACGCCGGCAATCTGCCTGGGGCCACTTTATGCTTTTCGCATTCACTTTTCAAAGTCATTTGAAGGAAGTCCGGATGTCGCAATAGAGTTTAAATTACACTTTGATAATAGTATTATCTTTTTATCGTACTAAACGCCTTTGGTTTATTATTAGTATATATGCGTACAATATACCATGTATGATATTTGTTTGCATTCACAGTATTAGAACGATTTTATCAATTATTACCGCTCTCGCCAGTTCGGACTTCGGTTTAATATTTAAAATATAGTTAAACCTAGAATTATTTTAATTTTTAGTACTGAAAACTGTTCTAAAAGTTTAAGCTAAACTGGCGAGAACGACCATTAAATCCATCGAAACGCACCTTAAAAACAGGTCAAACACGTTTTACTAAAAATACAACACACAACAATGTTGTACAGATTAAAAATAACTAAATTGGTGTAAGTGAAATAGTAAAATGTATTAAGTTTTACAATTTTTATGCAAACATTAAGTAATTCATACTACATTATACGAAGTTTTTATACTATAAATTAATTTAAAAAAAAAAAAAAATTGTTCCAACAAGATTTTTCTATAATAATAATTGTGCTTTTATTGTTTTTCTTGGCATGAAAACATTAAATTAGATATCCAACTAAATAATATATATCAACATTATATCATTGCTAATATTACATCAAGAAGAGATGTTGCATAAGTCTACTAATCACTAGATAACACCAATACATTCAATCTTTGTTCTTTCAGAATTGCTTGACTCTAGACCACGGTTATTAGATAACCGTGCTCTAGACTAAGTTCGTGTTTACCATAATCGACAACATCCATTTAACACGTTTTATTTAACTTTCAGTAGGTTATCTAACTGTTGGATGAGAAGTGAAAAACGACAAACGAAATATCTGAAGGTCACACTACCGACAAATAAAATACCTACTAAAAAATATCAGTTTTGCGGTCACTGATTTGAACTTTTGGGATTTTTTAACCTATCCTAATTACTAGATTTTTGATAGATGATTTATCACAAAACATATTATGAGAGCGTTGTATAATATGAAGCTATAAGAAGTTATTTGTGCGACTGTTGTTTTTTTCTACAGCTATAGTTGTTAAAATATGACTTTTCTTGTGCTTAGGCAAAACATACGATATGGCATTGACATTGCAAACAACGACCGAGCAAACAGGTATAAACGAATTACGGTTAAAACCTACTCAGAAGTAATTAACGTTTATACAGTATATGAGTTATAACCGTTAGTTGTTTGTATCCATTGTATGGGTAGCTGCTTTTTATTATGTTGAATAAATAAATATCATCAGGATGGGGGCTGAAGCCTCTCCCTTGTAATTGTATGCATTAACACTGTGTTTTTATGTTTATTAATTTTATAATAATACAGATAGGTATAGTATTTTGAGTAGGAAAAATATTAGAAATATTTTTCTAATTGTAAGTTGACATTTTTTTATATGTCATGAAAACCTTGGTTTGTAACTAAAATACTATTATTGTGTGTAGTACAGGTATGTAAATATAGTTTTCTATTTGCGGATGTGGGATGGACATTATGACATCAATTTCATAATAATTATATTACAGTTTTCAGTTTTACTCGTCCAATAAAGACGTCTGTTGTCTGCGGAACGGTAAAATCGGTACTTGTCCACTGAGATTTTTTTTTCTTCAAAATTGTCTGATAAGAAAAGTTTGCGGTTTGTATGTTTTTTCTTTATCGTAGTCGACGTATAATTGTGCGCATTATAGTAAAAACGAATAGATTAACCGTTGGTCGTTGTAAAACGCATGTTGAGTAAGATAATTTAAATTTAATAGCCTCAATTACAAACCGGGGCGTTATAAAATAAACAAATAATATGTTATGTTATGCGAAACACAATAATATCATATAATGCATGAATTTTTTTAAGAGGCCACACCTGCGGATTTTCGGTTGAAAACAACTCATTTTACTTCAAACGTTCCTAAAAATACTCGGATTTAATTTTTGAAAAAATATTTCAATTCTTAATAACATTTTCAAGGCATCGATCGTGGCATAATTTAAAACAATTTTTCGTTAATAACTATTTCAGTTTTAAAAAATTAAAAACATCAGTTTTTTACATTGAAATATTTAATTAACTAAAAATAATTTTAAAATTGTGCCACGATCAATGCCTAGAAAATGTTATAAAAAATTCAAATGTTTTTTTTTCAAAACTTAAATAACAATTTTTAGCCCAATGTTAAGTTTTAGTTAAAAATTGCCTATACAATGCGCCTTAAGAAATGCTAGTGTAGAGGCCTCTTGAATTTTCACTATCCATCGAATAATTATTCCCATTTATGAGTGAACAAAAGTTCCTAATTAACAAATTAAATGAACAATGTTTTGCACGAGTACACAGATCTAAAAATGTGCAACAAAAATCCTAATTAACAAAAATAGTTAGTGGATTAGGAAATATGATTAAAATTTTATTTAAACTTCATTAAATATACGTTTAAAAAATACCTATAAAAACTTAACCTTTTAATGTAATTATCAAATGATAAAATATTAAATAATGTAGAAATTATCGGTCTTCAGTTTATGTGTCAGTTGTGTATCGTTTGTAATTGTTTTAGATTTTTTTTTTTTTAACTTAAAAATCTACAAAAATAATAACGCAATTAATTTGCTGCAGACGTGAATAAATGCATAAAGATATAACGATGAATATAACATACACTAGTATACTTTCATATATCTTATACCTACCAAGAATTATAAGATTATTTTATTTCCAAGTGAAATTATATCATATTTCTTACACCGGTAAATTATTAACTATTATTATTGTTGTACACATAACATATATTTTATAGCGCGTTTACAAACAGTATCAGCTATGGAATGTGCACATTCTTGTATTTTAAGACGGAAAATCATGTATGGCGTTTAGTAGTATGTTGTAAATGACCGGAACTGCCATCGAGTTCAATGATTACAAATATAAACTTAAGTCTTAACGCTCAATACATGTTCCAGGAGCTACAGTATAAAACATAGGTCGTAGTGTTTGTGTATATTTTTGTTGCCTTTTTTCAATGAACATTTTTC